TATATATATATATATATATATATGTGTATGGTGACGGACCCAATAAATTTTATTATTGAGGGTAAAACAAAATGCAAACGTTATGATACCATTTTATAAAAAATGAAAATATATGGGGGCATTTTACATTTTTGATAAAATTTTAGAAAATCTTATAGAATTTCTAATTAAATTAATTGAATGGGGCATAGGATCCCACCCATTTCTATATAGATCCACCGCTATATATATATATATATATACGACATTTGGTGGAGCCATTGTACTTGCGAATGGGAAGAAGTTCTTTTTTTTTTTTCATAAGTCACAAGAAAATAAAAGTTGAAAGAAAAGAAAACCCCAAAAGAGGGAACAAAAAATCTAAAAAACAGAAATTATAAAATGAATTTATTCAATTAGAAATACAAAGCATTATATCTCTGGCCACCTGCTTGAACATCTCATCCGTTCCAAATATATCAACCAACTGATTCTCACATCTCATATTCGCCTGTTTCATCACAAAAAATATATATACGCCACCAAACCATTAATATAAGATCCAAACATATGTGTGTGTGTGTATATATATATATGAGGTATTATTGTTTCAATAATCTGCTAAATCTGTTACTCATATTCTATCATAAAGATTAATATGCCAATAGCTGATTAGTATAACATGCAAATATTTATAGATATATGCCGCTAGACTTTATGATATTTACCAATCATATTAACATGATATATATATATACACAAACACGCACACGCTATATAAGCTTACCCGAGCTTGGATCATGTAGATGCTTCGGTGAAAATCAGATGAGACGTGAGCTGAAACAACCTCCATGTTATACTTCTCCAGCAAGTAGCAAATCGTCGTGAAGAACCCTAGCTTGTTCTTGGGGCAGCAGACGCTGAAGTGTGCTTCGTCGCCACATATATTCAACACAACATTAGCCGATGTCCATGTCTGGAACGCGACAGGAGACGGGTTACAGGTGAAAGATGGATTCGGGTTCTGACTTGAGTGAGCATTGGAGGATATCTGATCGGCCAAGAACGACTCCCGAGTGCAAGAATCCGCTGCAGCAGCGGGAAATTGGGTTTGGTTTGACGTTATAATGGTCGTTGGGGAGGACGATGGATCATATGCGAAGGTTGCGGTTGAAGCAGAAGAAGATCGGAGCTTCTCCAGCTTTTGCTTTTGGAGCTTTTGGAGAGTGTGTTGAAGGGTTTGGATATAGTTCACTGCCTCATCTACTATTGTGGACTTGTCTGCCTGTGGATTTACACAACATTTAGCACACATCAGTAAATGTTTCATTTACTAAACTATTCCTAATATATAATTTAAAATAAAACCGAATTGTTTACATCAATGTTTAGAGACTACAACCATTGCTACAATGACAAGAATGAACAAACACACACACACACACACATATATGTTTCATAGCAGAATTTGACAAAAGGAGGAAACAACAATTCAAACAAAGTGAAAAAGAAAGAAGAATAATAGAAGGAAAGAAAAAAGTGCAAAGAAGTACAAAGAAGCAATTAAACAAACAAAATGAAAAGGGAACTAAAAAGCTCAATAGCTTTTTAACCTCACACCAAAATTAAAGAGAAACAATACAAACACATAAAGTGGATTATATGTTGGGCATGTGTTAAGAAAGAACAAAGGTATATTGTTATTCATTTCATCAACACTATTAAATCCTATTAATTTGCTTAGTTATTTTATTGTTGTTAATTAACAATTATCATTAATTATCATGAGTAAGTACCTTAGGAGGAAGTTGGGGGAGCAAGGCATGTAGGTTTGAAAACATGTTCCTCATCTTCTTCCTCCTCTCTCTTTCTGTCCATATATGCACCTCATGATCCGGTGACTCTACTCCGATTTTAGCCCTCTTTTTGTTGTTCCGATCCGTTTTTTTGCCTTTCTCGGGCGGTGGAACGGGCGGCTGTTTCCCTCCTTCTCCTCCGCAGCAACCGCCCGAGTCATCCGAATTCCACAAAAACCCTTCTTGACCAAGCTCATGGATATCACTCATGGCTTAAATCAATTCTCTTTTTATGGTATTCAAATAAATCTATGTATTTATTGTATGTGTGTGTGTATATAGAGGAGAGAGATCAAGAGAGAAGAAAAGAGAAGCGTTTGGGGAAAAGGTGACGAAGTTGGGAAAGAAAGAGAGATGGGAGGAGATATATAGGGTTATTAGGCAAAGGGGAAAACACCAAAATACAATCATAAGGCAATGCCGTTACTAGCCATCACAATAAAAACGGATATCTATAAAGCTTTTTTTTTTATATATTCTTGTCATTGTTTTTTTTAAATATTTTTATTAGTATAAAATTTAATTTTGTATTTTAAAAAAAAAATCCTTGGGTGCACCATATTTACCACTAACTTTCGTCGATTAGAAATAATTATTTAACCTCAGTTCTGCACTTGCATCATTTTCTGTATTATATTAAGAAAAAAATTGTTTTAACAAAAGTGCCAGGTGTATTAATTGGATCAACACATTTTTGTTTAACCTTGCCATTTCTTATATACTCTTCATATAAATTACAGGAAATTTGTAATCAACTCGTACATTAAAACAATAAGATACGCAGATTTAAATATCTTAGTAAATGTTTAAAATGGTGGGTCATATTAAAAAATATTCATTATTTTTCTTCTTTCGGCTTCTAATTATTTATACTATCTAAATATGTTTCCTTATTTTTATCTACCGATTATGATTGTATATTTTTTTAATACGTTGAACATGGACTTACATTAAATGCCTAATTAAACATTTCCCCTTTTTAGTAACATTTTAAAGTTTGTTGACCAGTCATTATTGAATATTATTTAAAATACGAAAAATTATACCAACCAAAATTTTAAATTAATTTATAGGAATCTATGGAAGAAATAAAAACCTTCAATTTTCAAATCAATAGAAAATGCTGAGTCGTTTTTCATAAATATGAAAATTTAATAATTGCAATGAACCATGAGAATTGAAATCCATTCTCTTGGCAACATGAAAAAAAAAATCCCACTATTGTTGCAAAAATTTCCAAAATATAACAAATCAAACTCAAACATAAAAAATTAGGTAATATAATAAAAAAATGTGATAAAATATATCCAAAATTACCTAAATATTAATAGCAAATTTGGTAAAATTGGTGTTTTATGTTAGATTCTGTCAACACTTGGATAAAGGTTTGCTCGATAAATAAGATTTTCTCTCTCCTAAAATTGATGTTTATTCTTTTTTTGTACCATTTTTTTAACATAAAATCCATGCTATGCATACATTTCAAGTATACAAGTTATGAGCTTCTAATTTTTCTTTATGAATATAACCGACAGTATAAGGACCAAAATTATTTATTGTTGAGTTAAAAATAATAATATTTAATTATCTCAAAATAAATGAAAATCATTGTAACTACGTAAACATCGAATGAGTGGGAAATTAAATACGCAATTATTAACCTATATATAAATAATTTCACATATCATAGATTCATAAGAAAGGAAATAAATTATTTTTCTACCTAGCTAATTTTTGCTACATTAAAGGGGAAAATAGTGATTTTTTTTTCTGGTTTCAGACAATGCACAATTTCATTTAATTTGAAATTTTTTATCTTAGATTTGATTCGGCTTTGGATTTTTTTTCCAATTCGAATTAAAACAAACCTATACTCAGTTTTCTTTTTAATTAGCTAATATACTCTTTTTAACTTATTAGAAATCTTATAATAAAGATATGAAGTGGTTGGGTTATTACCGCATGGAGAACATTGCAAGCGAAGGAACTGCGATGTCGGTTGTATTAAAGATATAATAGAAATCCACCGCCAGACCAAAAACAATTACTGAATTATCACTTAAATACCATATTCTTATCCAATTTTTTATAAGGAAATTAATTATTAATGTGAATATCAAAAACACAAAAACTCATCCCCGGAGGCCAAAAACTCAACACGGGCGTGATGTTTCAGACATCCGCTAAGTATGTCATCAAGTTCTTGTAGGCTCAATTAGGAATTCTCCAACTTAGTGATCATTGTTGGACCAAGGGATGATCAATGGCTGCGGCGTCGATATAGGCTGAGTCGACACGGCGATCCAGTTGTTGGGTTTCGCTACGGATTCCTATCATACGTTTACATCAATGTTTACATCAATGTAGGATTGGTTTCTAGGTTTCAAGCAATGGAAAAATAAATCAAAACCTAATCACAAGAAACCAATCATGCAAACCCGATAATCGTGTATAGCACCGATGGAATCGATACTTATTTGGTTCCTGAAGAAGCTTGAAGTACAACTCGATCCGTAACCTGTTTCTAATCACCTAGGACTGAAGTTACATTCTCTCTACACGTATTCACACCGACGGAAAGGATTCCAAACATTTTGGAACATATTTCCTAGAATTTGTGAAGGAAAGAGACTAAAAAATACAGGATCCAATCTCAAGAGGTTAGAAATAGAAGAGAATGGCTTCTCTAGTGTTTTAAGATATGTCTCTGAGTTTTGAAGACGTCAGATAGTCTGGATGAGTTTTCAAACTAAAATAGACTTGAAAACCCTAAATCCGAAAATTGAAAATTTTTTCGATCTTCGACCAAGATCTTGGTATACCGGATGAAGCTTAGTCGCCAAGTCAGTCCAAGCAAACCGTAGCTCAGTCCGCCTAATCTCGTGTCGTCTGGTTCGGAGTTGACCAACGGTTGATCCGTCGAACTAGACATATATGATTTCGGTTCATCAAGTCTTCGGACCATTCCTGGTCCGTTTGATCCAGTCATCTTGTCCAATGCTGACCAATTCTTGATCCGTCGGATCAGACCTGGACAGATTGACTACGGGCTGACCAAACATGTTTCGAGACTGACTAAATTTGGTCAGCTCCGGATCAATACACTGAGAACACTTTCTCATGCTCATTTTGTTCAAATCTCAATTTCATTCTTTGATTCTTCACATATAAGTCCATCCCTAGTGGTGTGTGATCCTGTAGGCTCATTCGCAGTGGCAGTGGCTTCGGAAACCTTTCCCGAATCACAAGTCATTGTTAACATCTAGCAAGATGCTCTGACCACTCACCTTAAATTAAGTTAGAGGTGATCTAACCAAACCAATAATAGCTCAAGTTCTGATCCTTTGTCTCGCGATATCACTTGTCAACAAGGGCATGGAGTAAGCCATTCTTCAAGTTCAACCATTTTCTCGTCTGGAAAATCGACTAACAAAGTAGATAAACGATTCATCTAAGCATGACCATGCATCGGCTCTCTAGTGTTAGGGTTATTAATCTCCTCTTATTCAAGTGATTAACTCTAATTCCATATTTTAAAATTAAATCCGAAACCCAGACCGAACGGACTGCTTAGTAGTCCG